TTACAATAATACATTTATGCTATTTTTGCAACATGTTGGAATGTTTGAAAACAAGAGAGCATGGCAAGAGTCATAGAATTTTAGTTTAAAGCACTTATATAGCAATTTTTCTGGAAAAAGCCTTTTTAACTACTGGAAAATGCCTTAATAACTCAACAGAATCCATCCGTATAACTTCTGCTGTACTTGGTGTAATTATTTACTACCACAGAAGATTATCTTGCTAACCTCTCATAAATCGAAACAGTAAATTACAACAGGGGGCCCGGGGCGGGGATTGGGTCGGCACACGTGGCGGGGGTGAAGGCCGGGCTTGGGGCGGGGCCGGGGGTTTAGTCCTCAGGCGGAGGTGGGGCCTTGGGCGGGGGCGGGGCTCCGGCGCCCGGACTCCCCGCGCGCCCCGCCCTTCCGTCTACCCGGCTGCGCTCGCGGGCCCTGACTCATCAGGGTTTCGCGTCCGCCCCAGCTGGGAACCGCGTTAACTCTTCGCTCTCCAAGTTCACAGGTTTCTGCTGCGCCTCAGACTTCCTACCGGTAGAAGGGGACTTTGACCACATCTGTGTGTAGTGATCCGCAGCTCGGGGGCGGTTTCCCCGCAGAGTGGCGTCCCTTGAGACCTTCCACGGAGAAGGGGCTCCTCGGCTGGGCCGAGATGGGCAAGGGGTCTTCCTGCGGGAGCTGGGGGGGAAGGTCTGCGTCCCGGAGCCTTTGGGAACCGGACTGGAGGAGGAGTCTGCCTCAGCCCGACAATAACAGAGAAAAATCCCCGAATGGAAAGCATTGACCAAAGCAACATAAATCCTATAGGTTTATCAGTTGTCGAGTGGCGGAGGAGTTCTTACGCTTAAAAGTGATAGAATTTTCACACACCAAGGCACAAATGTTTAAAACTTCTACTCAAAAAAGGAAGCCAGGATTAAAAAGCAAATAATCTGGGGAAAATATATGCAACACGACAAAGGATTCAAATCCTTAAATGAGAAAGACCTCATCAAATGAGTAAGAAAGCTACTATGACCCCGGTAATAAATAGGTAGAGAACATGAGCAGGTAGGTAATTCACCAAAGAATATGAATGGTTAAACCTCGCTAGCAATCAAATTAAACAACAAAGCAAGAAGATCAAAACAAGATCTCAGAAACCCTCTTTAAGGCTTTCCATCCCACTTAGAATAAAAGTCAAATTCTTAATCTTGGTGAACAAAGGCCAAGATGGTGAGAGGTTAATTCTAGGTGTCAACTTGACTGGATTAAGGAATACCTAGACAGCTGGTAGAGCATTGCTTTCTGGGTGTGCCTGTGGGGTGTTTCCAGAGGAGACTGGCCTGTGAGTCAGTGGATTTGAGCAGGGAGATAGCCACACTGGATGTGAACAGGCAGAGGAAAGGTGATTTCCTTCTCTCTCTCTCTCTCCCCCCCCCCCCCCCCCCCCCCCCCCCCCCCCCCCCCCCCCCC